CATAGAGATCATAGGGTTCACAGGGTTTATAGGGTTGATAGGGTTCATAGGCTTCTGAGTTCAGAGTTCAGGGTTAACGGTTAGAGGACAGTGTTCTGTTTACGCGGTGTAGACGGCGGCGACGAGGGGTGCAGATGTACAGTGCGCCCCAAGACAAAACCCGGCAGCTTTTCTTAGGGTTTAGGGTTTAGGGTTTAGGGTTTAGGGTTTAGGGTTTAGGGTTTAGGGTTTAGGGTTTAGGGTTTAGGGAACAAAAAGTGCTAGAGTGATATTGCGAAGCTTGAGACTTCTATCAGAAACCCTGAACCTCGCAACAAGGGCAAACGCGGCCTAACAGATCGAGATTTGTTGGAGTTTCGCCAGCCCGTGGAAATTGTGCTTCCTCTTTGTCGGGTTTAGGGTTTAGGGTTCAAGGTTCAGGGCTTCTTGCCCGACCCTCATTAAACGCTACCCCCCCTCTTTGCTAACAGTATGTCTGCACACGAGTCCGGTACAAACATGATTGTTTGGGGTTTTAAGGACGACGCCAAAATCCTAAATCCCCAAAGACCCCTAACAAGGCTAAACCCTAAACCCTGAACCCAGAACCCTAAAAACCTTAAACCCTAAACCCTAAACCCTAAACCCTAAACCCTAAACCAACCCTAAACCCTAAAGCCTAAGCCCTGAACATCCCTAAACATCCCTAAACCCTAAACCCCAAACCCTAATCCCCCCCCAAATACCCCTCAAGGAGAAGCAGGCCTTGACTGGCGACTCGCTGCGCCCCTTGCGCGGGCTGCTCTCCTTTTCGCATGGGGTTTTAGGGTTTTTGGGCTTAGGGCTTAAGGCTTGGGGCTTAGGGTTTAGGGTTAAGGGCTTAGGGGATTCTCCCCACCCTCAGTGTGGGGTTGTTAGATTTTAAACTCAACTCTTCGTTCATCCTGGAGTGCCCAACCCCAGAGTATCTCTACCAAGAGAGGGTGGGGATCTTCGAAGTAAAATAATTTCTTATCTGGAACCACACGGTCGTGTGAGGCAGATATTTGCCCTGCAGTTGTCAAACTACCTCCTGTGCTCGCCGTACATCTCCAGGTTGGTGCCCCTCCCTCATCCTGATCGCTACCTCCTCCTTCACGCGGCTTGGCCGATGTCGTCGCCAGAAGAAGAGGAGCTGCCTCGCCCAAAATTGCGTCGGATCGCCATTTCCAATTTGCCCAATTGCTGGCGCTCGCGTCGCGATCGCGCGACCGCCTCCGCAGGCACCACTAAATTTGTTTCCCTAATGACCGCTGTTCGCGTGCCAAGCGTTCCTTCTCCTCTCCCTTCCCCTTCATGTCCTGCTCTTTGAACGCTTGCACGATGGTTTGGGGTTTAGGTTCTAGAATTGGGTTGGGACCCAGAAGCCTAAACCCGACATGATATTTGGGTGCTTAGGGTTTAGGGAGCTATGTCCTTGGAAGGGGACTGTTTCGGCTCCTGCATAATGTTTTCGAGCCTTCCAGCTAAGGGTTTTGGGGGATTCAGGGCCTTAGAGGGGGGCGTTCAGGCCCTCAACCCTAAGCCCTGAACCCTGAACCCTGAACCCTAAACCCTAAACCCTAAATTCGGCGAAATTGAAACGCCCGAGAAGCACTTGAAGCCATAGGACACCAAGACCGAAGGAGGTCACCAAACTGGCAGACAAAGCCTAAAACCCTAAAACCCTAAAACCCTAAAACCCTAAAACCCTAAAACCCTAAAACCCTAAAACCCTAAAACCCTAAACTGCCCTAAACCCTAAACTGCCCTAAACCCTAAAACCCTAAAACCCTAAAACCCTAAAACCCTAAAACCCTAAAACCCTAAAACCCTAAAACCCTAAAACCCTAAAACCCTAAAACCCTAAAACCCTAAAACCCTAAAACCCTAAAACCCTAAAACCCTAAAAAACCCTAAACCCCTAAAACCCATATTTTTTTACCTCATGGCCTCAGCTCCGCACTGTTGAACCGGCAACTGGACATGTATTGGGGGGTTTACCGCCCCTTTGTTTAGGGGGGTTTGGGTTGAGGTTCCCTTTGTAAGCTTGAAAAAAGGTACCCTTTTGTTTAAGGGTTTGGGTTCTCTGTAGAAGCTAAAAAATAAGGTGCCTTTGTTTTTTTTTTTTTTTGGGGGGGGGGGGGGGTTAGGTTCCCTGTATGAAGCTACCAAAAAGGGTACCCTTTGTTTAGGGCTTAGGTTCCATTTATAAGCCCCCTTTAGCCCAAAAAGGGTACCTACCCTTTTTGTATTCCTGGGCTACTCTTGGGTCTGGGCATTTCGCGAGCCGTTGCTTCATCGCATTTCAACTACTCCGAACTTGCAAGGCCAGTCCGACTGTGCTGAGTCAGCATTGCAGCTGCGTACTCTATGGGGGTTTCCGACATGACGGGGGTACCTTCTTGCGGTTCTTCTTATGAGGGAAGCCTACTATTTGGGGACTCTGGACCCTAAGCAGGCCTAAACCCTACACCCTACACCCTAAACCCTAAACAATACACCCTAAACCCTAAACCTTAAACCTCGCGCCTTGGAGCCACCCCTGGACTCGGCCCGGCCACGAGCCGTGGCAGGAGCTGAGTCCTCTGCGGAGGCGTTGGGGGGTTTAGGGTTTAGGGTTTCGGGTTTAGGGTCTAGGGTCTAGGGTTTAGGGTTTAGGGTTTAGGGTTTAGGGTTTAGGGACCAGATTAAGGGGGCCATGTGCCACTACCCTTAGATCTGCATAAGCGTTTGGGAGGGGGGGGGGTGTTAGGGTTTGCGGTTCAGGGTTTACTATTATTTGCTTAAGAACCCCAACAAAGATTAAAGATGATCATCGCTATATTGCCATAGTAAGGAAGAATGTCTTTTTACTTTTGGAGTTTTCTTAAGCGAATAGTAGTTGAGGGTTGTACGTGTAGGGCTGGGGGACATTAAAGTTTAGGGTCTGAGGTGTACAGCCGCATTGATAAACCCCTCCTGATTCGACTATCCCCCGAAAAAAAAGCCCACTTAGCGGTCGAGATGTTCGACCCTGATGTTGTTTTGCGGGTTGCTTTGAGGCTAGGAGTTGGGATGTTCCCTCTTATACTAACAATCCTTACCAGGGATTCCCTATTGCAATCCCTACTAAGGACCCTAAACCCTAAACGCTAAATCCTAAACCCTAAACCACAAACCCTAAACCTGTTCGTACAAGGGGGGAACATCCCAAGCTAGGAGTTTCGCATGGTGCTCAAGACAGATGACCGTCATCCTCGGCGAGGTCCTCGAGCCGCCAGCCCCAGCCAAAGTCTTAGGGTTTAGGGTTTAGGGTTTAGGGTTTGAGGTTTAGGGTTTAGGGTTTAGGGTTTGGGGTTTTGGGTGGCGCCGTGTGAAAGGGGACGAATCTCCACACGCGGCGTCATGAGCTGCGGGAACTCAAACCCTTGGGGCCTTAGGGTTTAGGGTTTAGGGTTTAGGGTTTAAGGTTTAGGGTTTAGGACCTTCGGGGCTTTGGGGATTTGAGGAAAGGCGTGTGGGATGCAGAGTGTTGGGCTTTAGGGCCTTGGAAAGACTTCCTTCTCCAATAACTAAGGGGAAAACTTTATCAACTTTATCATCCTACTAAATAGGGAAACCCAAAAAAGTTTAAATTTCAAATATTGGCCAAGTAAGTAGAACAAGTAAGTAGAACTTGTTTCGCAAGCTGCAGCCACAACCCCAAAACCGAAAGAACTCGAGCCAGATCACCCCAGAATCCCAAACTTGAACCTCACGCCCAACAACGCCCTAAACCCTAAACCCTAAACCCTAAACCCCAAACCCCAAACCCTAAACCCTAAACCTCAACACCCCGACCCCCGAAACTCCTCCGGTCGCTGGTGCTCTTCGAGCATCATCTTGACCTCAGGGTACCCGGGTAGGAAGAGCTGAGGGTTTGGAGGAATGGGGTTTAGGGTTTAGGGTTAGGGCTTAGGGCTTAGGGCTTAGGGTTTAGGGTTTAGGGTTTAAGGTTTAGGGTGACGGCTACCTAGGTTCATGGGTTTCGTGACTTAGGGTTTAGGGTTTAGCGTGCGTGCAGGGGAATTGTAGTTAGAAATCGTTAAACTTGCACTAAATAAATGTATCACCAATTGTTTTAAGTAAACTTGCCTTACTTCTAACACCACTTTTAACAAGCCTGGATTAGCGCTTTAGATCCCTAAGTAACCACCAAGCTAGGCGCTCACAAGTAGGCTTTAGGGTCCTGGTGCATTAGGCCCTTAACCGCCCAAAGCATCTAAACCTCAAACTGTAAACCCCAAGCCCAAGACCACCTAAAGCCCCTAAACCCTAAACCAACTAAGCCCCCTAAACGCCCGAAAGCCCAACCTAGACCCCCTAAACCACCTAAACCCCCTAGACCCCCCAAACCCCCAAACCCCCTAAACCACCTAAACCCCCTAAACCCTACTCCTCCCCACCCCCCCAACCCCAAACCCCTGAAGGGAGCCTGGCTTGAGAAGGCTGCACACTCGGACATTTCTTTCCCCCTAAAAAGTCCATGTGTGTATCTAAGGTATATAGGCTTTCAGCTTTGGGGGTTCAGGCCCTGAAGCCACCGGACACGAACCCCCCTTTTAAGGCCCCCAAAGTCTGCACCATCTGGGTACATGGAGCCTTCGGAGTTCTTTCTTTTTCTTATGCAGCAAGACCGCTCAGCCTCTAGTGGACAAGCTGATAAAGCCGCCAGCAGCGTCGCGTTTTGCGAGCGGCCACGGGTTCAATTTTGTCTTAGGGTCGAAGTTTTAAGTTTTAGGGTTTAGGGTTTAGGGCTTAGGGTTTAGGGTCTCTGGTTTGGGGTTTTGGTAGGGGATCCAAAGCATGGGCCCTTAATTTGGGTCCCCTGTTATGTCACCCTTATATACACAAAAGACACAGTAAGTAAGAGTCCATCCTTCGGACCCCTTTGAAGAAGGGTCAGGGACCATAAGGGCCCATGGTTCTAGCCTGATTTTTAGGGTCGTTGGGGCTAAGCTGGTTTAGGCCGGAGGTTCTGCTCAAAGAGTGGAACCATACGCAGGACCCTCTGGTCAACCCTGCGAAATTCACGGGTCGATCAGATTCTGGGCCCTGTACCGCAATGGAGCGCAGAAAGGGTGCCTCAACCCCCCTGTATCTTACTGCATAATGCTGCTTGTGAACGCACCTACGTGCAGTTGAGGGCTTCATAGGCCCCAAACCCTAGCTTAGTCCAACCCCACCTGCAACTCCTCAAAACCCTCTAACTTAGTTGGCCGTTTTCATAGCCCTTAAAGGGACATCTTGACACCAATGCAACATGTTTAGGGTTTAGGGTCTAAATCCTTACCCTGAACCCTAAACCCCTAAGCCCCCCAAACACTGTCAGCAAATGCCCTGGCAGCTCGCGCTGTGCGACGAATCGAAGGTCCTACGGCGGAAGCACCGCAGTCCGACATAGCCCAGCATGTGCAGCTGAGGCCCAGTTTAGGGTTTAGTGTTCAGAGTTTAGGGGTTTCGGGTCAGGGGTTCAGGGGGTTTCGGGTTTAGATCTAGGATTCTATCCGGTTTGCCTACACCCCAAACCCTGAACCCTGCTTGAAGGTTCATGGGTATACTTGTTAAAGTATGGTAACTCCAACGACAACCCTATTTAGGGCACTTATCAGCCTACTTATAGCAACCCTAAACCCAAAACCCAAAACCCAAAACCCTAAACCCTAAACTGCTAGCACTTGCACTCCTTGACTCGTGCGTGTAAGGCATCAACTGATGGGTGGCTCCTGAATCTTTGGTGTCGATGTCTCTTGTATCCCTACGGGGAATACTTGGGCCATAAAAGCACCTCCTATACAGGGACTCTTGGCCCCAAGTATATAATAACATGGCACATGGACCCTTAGGGTATGCGATGGCTAGAAGTTGAGCCTAAACCCTAAACCCTAAACCCTACACCCTACACCCTACACCCTACACCCTAAACCCTAAACCCTAAACCCTAAACCCTAAACCCTAAACCCTAAACCCTAAACCCTAAACCCCAAACCCTAAACCCTAAACCCTAGTTTAGGGTTTCAGGTTCTTGGGTTTACTCGAGGTTCCCTGGACTGATCTGGATTGCGGTGCCCAGCACTACAACTCGCAGCTCCCATCGCATTGGAGCCGCGTCACGTGGGCTACGGGGGTGAGGGATGGTCAACCGGAAGCCGTGGGGTTTAGGGTTTAGGGTTTAGGGTTTCGGGATTCGGGTTTCGGGTTTCGGGTTTCGGGTTTCGGGTTTAACACAGTGAACCCCAGACCCTCAACTTCACAAAGTGTTCACCGAGGACCTTGTTGATCAAACCTCCCCCCCCCCCCCCAGATTGCATTCGATGCATTTCAAAGAGGCCCCGGGCCACTCCGTGCTTGCACTCCCAGAGATGGCATAGGGTTGGGCTTAGGGGTTTAGGGGCTTAAGGGCTTAAGGGCTTTAAGGGTTAGGGCTGAGGGGCTTAGTGTGTGGTTGCTTTTTTAAATTATTGATGCATCAGGGCTTCACTTGGCTTGACTTGTAATTTGCTTATGGGTTCATCCTCGCTTAATGTGCGCTCGTCTGGCTTCTTAGTGCGTTCGGGCTTGATGTGCGCTTGTTTTGCTTAGCCCGGATGCGCCAAGGCACTAAGCCCGAACGCATCCAACATTCCGGGTTTGTCTTAGCGGGGAACAACGCCTTTCGTGATAAGACCATATTATGAGTGAAACGACGTTCAAACATATGCTTACAGAGACGGGGATCTAGATCTCAAGACCTATCCGAATCACACGATGAAAGAAAACGACGTGCAACGTATCTTTGCATGACGATTTGTAAATATAGTGCTCGCATGATGGGTTTGGCAGATGGTGCGGTAATCTTCGTGGCAAGTTCAAGCTCTGCTACTGCTATATTGCTCGGGGTGGGAGCTGGGGCGGAGGGGTGGGGTGGGGCGGATGGGGGGCTACTAGTGCTACTAGTGCTACTAGTTCCACCGCATCCTGATTTCAATTTTGCTGATACTCTTCTTAGTTCCCCCTATGGCTGTGCATCTTGTGATCCTGATTCAGTTTGCTTTTGAACCGTCGCCCCTGCTTTCGCAGGGTTTTGTCGAACCCCCTCAGGATCACACAGAAATGAACAAAGACGAGGGGGTGGGGGGGGGGGGGTTTCACTGTTGATTTTATCACAGGAATGTGGGGGGGGGGGGGGGGGGGGGGTCCGGGTTAATTTGACACATCAAATACCAACTCAAAGGGGGACCATTATTGGTTTAATCAATGATACATCTGGGTATATATCAGTAAGTATACAATTTGTATATGTAACCTATATACACTTCGTCGCTTTGAGAACCTGATCGCGTAATTTGGCTAGCCCTTGTGGGAAGCAGATCGTGGTGTCTACCGCTCTACACATTTCTGTGTTGCGGAGGGGTCTTCTGATCTAGATCGGCGTCTCTGTGAGCGTCTGAGTTCGTGTTTTGGGCTGGCTGATCGCAGATAACGCTTTTTCCTTGTTCATTCTTTTTGCTGGTTTGTCGATGATCTTCGTTGAGTACTGCGGCAGTTTTTCGTGGGTGGGGGGGGAGAGGCTTCGGAGGATTTCATGAGACATAGGAAAATGTTTGCAGGGTGAGGGTGGTGGAGAATAGACGTTTGAGGAGTACAGCTTTCGGAATTTGACTTCGTACAGGAGCAGGGACACCTAAACCATAAATCTTTGAATCATAAGGGCTGCGGTTTGGGATCCTTTCTAGGGCGCGCGGAGAGCCGGTGCAAATCGCAAAGGTTTCAGGGTTCAAGGAACCCTTGCCTTCGAGGAAGAGGGCTGTGCGACTTTAAAACAAGGCTTAAACCCTAAACCCTAAACCCCCAAACCCCCAAAACCCTAAGCCCTGAAACCCGAAAACCCAAGGATTAGGGTGGAGCTTTCAAAGCCAACGCTACCAGGCACGAAGCGAGAAGACCTTAAAGACCCGACGGCCCCAAATCCCACCTCACGGATAGCTTCTAAGTGGGGTTTTAAGTAGTGTATCTATAAGAACTGGGTATCAGCTTGTTTGGGGGGACTCAGAACCCTACTGATAACTACCCATGAAACTACCAATACACATACCCAAGGGCCTTCGGGCACGCCTCGCTGCTAAATCTCTGGGATGCTCGACTAGCCCCCGAAAATGGGGGGGTGGGGGTTTAGGGTTTAGGGTTTAGGGTTTAGGGTTTAGGGTTTAGGGCTTAGGCATCATTTTGGGCTAGGCCAGGACTCAAGGCGAATACGCCAGACACTGCCGAACACTTAAACCCTAGAAGGACCCTTGATCCTGTTTGCCCATATACAACCCTGCCTTCGAAAATCTGGAGAGATTCTAAAAAACTCAGCCCTACAAGAAGCCCTGAATCCTGCTTCTGCAACCATAAACCGAAACCCTAAACCCTAAACCCTCACCCCCAATTCGATCGCCCTTCGTAGATGCCTCCTCGAAGCCAAACAGTTACCCCCTCGCTGGGGCGAGCCACTGCTGGAACTTCGAACAAAGGGACGCGCAGGCTTAGGGTTTAGGGTTTAGGGTTTGGGGTTTAGGGTTTAGGGTCTAGGGTCCAGGTTCTAGGGTTTAGGGTTTAGGGTTTCAGTGTTTCAGGTTTAGGGTTTCAGGGTTTTAGGGTTCAGGGTGCGGTTTCGGCCTTCAGCCCACTTTTAAACCCTAAACCCAAAAGGCTGCGGTCTAGGGTTTAGGGTTTAGGGTTTAGGGTTTAGGGTTTAGGGTTTAGGGTTTAGGGTTTAGGGTTTAGGGTTTAGGGTTTAGGGTTTAGGGTTTAGGGTTTAGGGTGCCCAAAGCTTGCGAAGTTCGGAAGCTCCCAGTGGCGCAAGAGAGCAGATCAGGGGCTCATT